TTCTTTCTTTCTTTCTTTCTTTCTTTCTTTCTTTCTTTCTTTCTTTCCTACAATTTATCCCAACTGTAGACCCCTCCCTCAGTGCCTCCCAGTCCCACCCTCTTTTTAACTTTGATCATCTTGATATTTTGTTCTCCTTGGCTTTTCAATACAGGGTCTCACTGTATAGTGTTAGCTGTCCTGGAACTCACCATGTACACCAAGATGGACTCAAGCTCAGAGATCCACCTACTCCTGCCTCCCGAGGTCTGGGATTAAAGGCTTGTGCCACCATACCCAGCTTGACAACCTTAATTTAAAATTTTATGTTTTGCTTTTATTCCTCTTCCTATTTCTTATTCCTTTCATATATTTCTATTTTAATGTCTATATTTTCTATTTTTATTATTAGTTAAAATATACTATTGTTTTATATTGTTTTAGACTCTGTTAAAATTTTTAAAATTGTTCTGGCATTTTATTTGTGTCTCAAAGTTTATGAAAATTTCCTTATCTTACATTTTTCCTATTCCTTCTCTACAATATTTTCCCCTTGATTTTCTCTTGCATTTTAATGCTGTTTTTACCAGAGCCTTTTAGCTCACTGATTTAGCACACAGAGCTCATATATTTAGATGGTTCCCACTTGGTGGAATTGTTTGGGATGGATTGGGAGGCACAGCCTTGCTGGATGAGGTATGTCATTGGGGTTGAGCTTTGAGATTTCAGAATGATGTGTGCTGTTCCTGGTGTGCTCTCTCGGCCTCCTGATTTTGGATCAAGATGTGAGCTCTCAGAGGGTTCTGTGGCCGTGCCTCTGCTCTGCCACTGTGGACTCTAATGTCCTGAAACCATAGGCCCAATTAAACACTTTCTTTCGTAAGCTGACTTGGTTTTGGTGTTTTATCACTACAACAGAAAAGCAGCAAATACAGAGACGCACATTTGATGATTCATGCTCTCTGATGCTGACACCTGACTGGGGGAAAGAGTCTCCAGGAATGGTGGTTTGCATTTGCCATTCCTGAGCACCAGGTGGGTACCAGGCCCCGTGTATGGAGCCACGTCACACCATGCATCCTGAAGCAGCAGCCATGTTGAAAACAGAAGGAAAGGGCCACAGCCCACAGTCACTCAGCTATACTCAGAAGAACTGAAATGCAAAACTGGCCACCTGACTTCAGCGCCAAGTACTTTCCCTTACTGCTGTCTCGGGTCTTGTGAGAGCTGATGAAGGCCTCTGGGTGCACCATGATAAGTCCTAAACCACCCAGAATTTCCCTAAATTTGCTTAATTTTGATGTGATATTAAACTTCTTGGGTACAGCAGTTTTAGGTTACAAAACACTAAGCAACAGCATGTGTTTCCAACCCCACTACAGGAACCAGAGGAAGCTCTGAGCGATAAAGTCCTTGGCAAGTGTGTATTATGACATATGCATACACAGCCATGTCAAGGATGCTGAAGAGCCCAGGCCCATGGGGCAATTGGCAAAGCTGTTACCCATGTAGCCCAGGCAAAGCTTCTCTTCACCAACGTGTGCAAGGACGGCAGCGCCAGCCTCTCTTCCTCTTCTATTCACTGCTTGAGCTGCTCACCTACAGAGACCTTCTGCCGACACCAGCCAGCCCCTCCCCCTGTGCATAGTAAACACACTGAGGTTCCAGGCTGGATGGTCATGTTAGAGGACCCCACCCAAACCCAGCTTCACTGTATGGGTGTCTGTCCTTCCCTCATTCCCTCACTCCCCAGGCAGGGGGGGCCCGAGCCATGAGCAGGATGTGGCCCTACCCCACAGCTTCTCCTTATATGAATATCTCACATTACACAGTAAACTGTGACAAACGATGAACCAAAACTGACCATTATTAGCCAAAGTCCTTTAGTTTCCACGAGTTACGGTTTGGATCTGAAATGTTAGCTTTGAGAATCAACGGGACCCTCGGGGAGTTGGGCTTATTAATTGATTAATCCACCGATGCACTCCTAATTTGATGGCATTATTTGGTGGGGTGACCAGGAGGTAGGACCTGGTTGGAGGAAGTAGGTCGTTGGGGTGTTCCCTGGAAGAGTATGTTCTCTCCCCAGCATCTCTGTGCTCTCTCTGCTTCCTAACTACCAGGCCTCAGCACAGGCCCAGAAACAGAGCCAAGGATCCATGGACAAAGTTCTGAAACTCTGAACCCAAATGAATCTGCCTTCATTAAAGTAGTTTTTAACTAACCTGCTAGGTTTTTTTTTGTTTTGTTTTGTTTTTGTTTTTGTTTTGTTTTGTTTTGTTTTGTAAATGCATAATGCCACCTGTCTAGATCACGATGCCACACAAAATAACTTTCTACACTAAAACAATTCCTGGCACTCTTCCTGACCTTCCTCCCACAATGGCAATCGCTGATTTTCTGATTTTTTAAAAACTTTTTCTGCAGTGTTTTCCAGAACATCATATAGTTCAACGTATACCATTTACAGCCTGTGGACCTCTCTTCTTTCACTCTCTAGTTTATATTTAAGCGCCCTCCACATCTTTTCGCAGCTTATTTCTTTTTGTTGTAAAATAATAAATCACTGTGAATGTTTACTTACCTCTTAAGGAGCATTTGGCTTTTTTCCAAGTATTCACGTGTTTCAATTGAATTAATGTTTTAAGTGCTCAGATTGCTGGGTAATAGCCCTACACACAGATTCTACTTGTCAGGCCAGTGGGGACAGCCATAACTCTGCAACTTTCAAGTGTCCCCAGAAGAGCCTGGCTCCACACAGTTCAGAGGTCCTCTCTGCCTATTTGTCCTTATGCGATTAGGCTTGGAATTATTTTCTAAGGTGAGCGTGAGCCTTGTGTGCAGAAGCAGCAGTGCCGACGGGACTGATACAAGCACTGACGTATCTGTTCACCTACACGTGCACAGCTACACGCGTGACCGCTCTAGCCAACCCCTGAACACTCAGCCTTTGTCGCTTCCCTGTAGAGAGGCCTGACCACATCAGATGTGGGCCAATGAGAAGATCCTGAGGCACCTGCTCAGCTGTAGAGCGTCTAACCAGAGCTAAGGCTCCTGGGCCTGCAGAGTGTCCCCTGCAGAGAGCCAGGCTGCTTCAAGCAGACAGCTGACAACCCCCTTCCCCTCCCCCAACTGTGCAGCCAGCCTGACTGAAGCCTCACCTTCTTGTACTTGTGGGGGAAGGTGAACCTCTCAATGGTGTTCTGAACGGCTCCTCGGGTCACGTTTCCCAACCTGTCCTCGAGCTGCAGCAGCTCCTGTAAAAAAACAGGCACATGCGCTCAGTGTGTACAAGTGCACACCAACACACATGGAGAGGATGAGCAAGGAGAGGTGAGTGCAGGGAGAGGTCACACTGCCAGCGTGAACGACAGACATTTCTCTCTGTGCTCTCTTTCTCTCTTGCTTTCCAGCCGAGGGCTTCCCACCACCCCCATCCACCCACCATCGGGGACAGGCAGAGAGAATGGCGATGAATGATAGGCAGCTGTCAACTAGTCAGTGTCGGCATCAGACAGGGCAGCATACCTCATAGCTCTCGCGAACAGCAGAGGTGTGTCGGCTAGGATTTAGTCCCTGGAGAGCAAGGAAGTGAAGCTGGGGATACGGGTAGTTTCGAATTTCATGGACAACCTGAGAAGGAGGAGAAAACAGTTTGGATGGAGCGAAGATCCTGGCTTCTCCTGGGACCCAAGGGCAAGTCCTCCCGCCAGAGCCACAAGCCAGCACAGCCTTGACCTGCTGCAGTCAGCAGGGCTGTCCCTCCCGCTCTTATGTTCTACCCTATTCACGAAGAGCCAGGCTTGCTCATAGACGCTTCGGGAAGGGACGCTGACCCTGACTGGGCACCAGCTGCATGGCAGCAATGTTCTGAGCACTTCCCTGCCCCACCTGACGACAACTGCTGTGCAATCATAACCCATTGTAATCCCCATTTTACTGATGGGTGACTAGGCACACACGTAGATTAACTAATCAGCTCGTGCCACACAAGCAAGTGACAGAGCCAAGGTGCTTGGCTCCGACCCAGGCAGCTGAGTGAAGGAAGCCTGCTGTACTATCTCTAAGAGCAGCAGGATGCCCAGGTCAGCTCCAGGGCCGAAGACAAAACAAGTCAGCAACTGAAGTAAATAGCACTGTAATTCAGTGTCTCTCAGTAAAAACAACATTCTACAAACCCGCAATGAGCAAATATTAGTCTGTTAAGTCTACAAACTCTGGTGGTTTGAATAGGAATGGCCCCATAGAACCATATCTTTGAATGCTTGGCCCACAGGGAGTGGAGCTATTGGGGGTGTGGCCTTGCTGGAGGAAGTGGTGTCACTTAGTAAGCTCAAGCTAGGCCTGGTGCTTACTAGATCCTAGACCCTGCTGCTGCCTGAGGATCAAGATGTGACCTCTCAGCCCCTTCTCCAGCATCTGCCTGCACACTGTCATGTTTCCTGCCATGACGGTAATGGACTAAACCTCTGAAACTGTAAGCCAGCCCCAAATAAATGTTTTCCTCTATAGGAGTTGCCATGATCTCTTCATAGCAATAGAACCCTACCTGAGACACAGACTCCAGGCCCTAACTTGCTTAACCCATCCCTGTTTTATTCGCCTGGCGAGGAGCCAGCCCACCTTCCATCGAGCTGCTCCCCTCAGGCACTGGGACCTAACCTCTCTGGGGCTCAGTTTGCCAGCGTTCAAGGTGGGTATAATGCCTGACTGTATGGGGTTACTGGAGAAGGAAGGAAAATAGGAAGTAAGGAAGTACTGACAAGGCAAGGCTGGCTAGCTACTAGCGGCAGTAGGTAGAGAGGACGTTCAACCCCCTCAGGACTCTGGCACTCACCATCTGCGTAGACGAGGAGTTCCTGGGGAAGTGGTGCATTCGAGGAGTTGCTAGGTAATGCTGATAGTGCTGAGGGATGGGCCGCACCTGGAACTGGGCAGGACTCAAGCCGGCGTCCACACTGAGATCCCTGCGGGACACAGCCAGTGAGCCACGAGGTGGAGGAGGCTCCACCACGGGGCAACGTCACAGCACACGCTGCCAGCTTTGCCCCTCTGCGTGGGAGAAAAAGGCGCCGATAACCCCTCTAACAAGTTGCTTGCCTGCAACCAGCCGTCTCCTTGTCCCTCCTGAACCCGCATGGAAGACCTTTCAGTCTGAGGCACCTGGAACAGCCCAGACCATTAAGCTCTCTCCAAGGGAAAGTCTAAATGGAGCAGGTCAGGGACACAGCGCAAAAGAAGCAAGCACCAGGTTGAGGATGGGAAGCGACCATATTTTCACCTCTTGATAAAACCACAGCAGAGGGACCCCTCGACCGCTCATCCTACAGGCTGGAAAGTTATCCTATCCCACCCAGTCACATTCCTAAAAGTCTGTGGAAACTCACTTCACTTAAACAGAAGTTTCACTAAAACATTTTCGAATTTGATGGAAACTATAAACCCACTGGCCCAAAATGATCAAAAATGTCAAAGAGTAACACAAAGGAAACCACCTCAAAGTACATAATAATCAAAAATTTTAAAAATTAATACAGATGAAAGTTTAAAATAAACCCAAGATTAAAGAGAAAGGTCCCTCTGGTATAGAAGGTGGTATAGAAGCTATCACAGACTTCCCATTTAAATGAAGTAGCCGGGAGAGAAAGAGATGGCATCAATAAGAAAAAAAAAAAGCTATCAGACACAAAGTCTGCACCCAGCAAAATTTATTTTCAAAATGAAGATAAAGTAAAGTTTTTTTCAGATGAGCAAGGCTGAGGAGAAGTAATGGACCAGCACCACAAAAAATAGTAGAGAGCGGTGTACAGACAGAAGAAAAATGGTGCCAGGCAAAAGCTTAGGTGAACACAAAGAACAAAGAGGAATTGGTGGCTAATGAGAAATGGAGATAATTTGGGGTCTGTGGAGAAAATGCACAGAGATAAAATAGAACATTCTGTCATAACCAAAAGCAGAAACGTTATTAATGTGTGCCAGGGTCATGGAAGAAGGAGCCCTCCAGAAGAGGCTTTCCCCAGCAGTCTTGGTCAATGCACATGTCAGTAACTATTACTGCAAAAAGATAATGAAGCCCATGAAACACATTTATATGAGGGCTGAGCTGAAGCTGAACAAAACCATCCTCTCTGAAGGATTCCAGGGGACCAGCTCTTTACCCGGAAGTCTAAATAGAAAGAATAAAAGCAAGCCCCAAGCAGCTGTCTTCCTTTCCCCGACTAAGGTACTTCAGGGTAACCAAATAGTTGATCAGGGTCATTTCTCATATTGAAGTTTCCCAGCAAGCATATGAATAAAGAATTATTAAATTACCTGTCACCAATTTGCATTTTCTAAAGAAATAAAAGACCCAGACAGAGATCATCAATTGCTGCCAACATTACAGAAGGACAAACAACCACACGGTGTACTTTCTGGTAGAAAAACACAGTGGTATCTCTGAAGCATTTCTGTTAAGAAAGCAGGGGAAAAGAGAGGAAGGGAGAAGAAAAAAGGGGAACAAAGAGGGACAGAGACGGAGATAAAGAGAGAAACTGGGATTCTTTTTATAGTTTCTTAAGATAGGGGCATAATCTGTCACCCAGGCCAAAAGAGAACTCAGTCTTCCTACCTCATCCTCCAGAATGTTAGGATTGCAGGCATGAGCCGCCATGGTGCCACTTTTGAGGAACATATGAAGTGGCATCAGGATGTAACAGTAAAATCTAGATAAGAGGAACGCTACAGGAGGAGAGTCTCATCACACACAGTGAAATCTCACACACACACACCACATACACTACACCCCACATACACACACACACACACCACACACCCCACATATATACCACACCTCACATATACACACACCACATACACCACACCCCACATATATACCACACACACACACACACACACACACACACACACACACACACACACACGAGAGAGAGAGAGACAGAGGGGGAGGAGGAAGGAAGAGGGAGAGAGAGAGGCATTTCTGCTTCCCGACAAGTTTTAAGGTAGCAGAGATTGTTTTTCTCCTCCACTGTAAGCCCCTGGAAAACTGGGCAGAATATCTACAATATCTGTTTTCAGACACCACATGAACCAGTGTAGAACTTTGATCCAAGTGACCCTGCAACTCACTGACCAAGAAGGCACATCCAAACCAGAGATACACCTGGCCCTTAAGCAGAGACTGGTGTTCTCTTGGGTTGGGGATGCGCTCTGTATTGCAGGGATCTGATTGTGCCACTGTATTCACCGCGCAGTGTTCTGAAGAGGAGGGAGCTGCATCAATGAGAACTCTGGAATTCTGCAGTGTTCCCTCGAGTCTCTACTGAATAACAAGTTATGTGTGTTTTTGGGCTGTGGGTCATGACCCTTTGGGGTTCAAATGACCCTTTCACAAGACTCACCCAAGACCATCAGAAAACACAGACTCACAATAGTAGGAAAATTACAGTTATGAAGTAGCAATGAAAATAATTTATGGTTGTCAGTCATCACAACAAGAAGTTAGGGAGGTTGGGTGACGGCCCACAGGTTGAGCAAAAGGCACCCATGGAAACAGTGTTTCCCAGAATTCAGACAGTTGATCAGTAGACTCCAGAACAATCTTTAAAAAAAAAAAAAAAAAAAAAAAAAAAAAAAAAAAAAAACTATTTATTTATTATTTATACAGCATTCTGCCTGCATGTGTGCCTGAAGGCCAGAAGAGGGCACCAGATCTCACTATAGATGGTTATGAGCCACCATGTGGTTGCTGGGAATTGAACTAAGGACCTTTGGAAGAACAGTCAGTGTTCTTAACCCCTGAGCCATCTCTCCAGACCCCCAGAGCAATCTTCTAATGGCAGCCCCTGAGCTCTGTTGGGGCAGATCTAGAGTAGCTGCTGATTTAGGGATATTTGAGATGTGCTGTAGTAAGACTCAACAAGCCTCTAAAGGCTCAAGCAGATCTACAAGCGCTACCAGAACAAAGCCCAACACCCCACAAATGACTGAAGCAAATCCAATTACTCAACAATCCATAGCTCATGATATTCATTTTTCAATAGAAAATAGCTGGTCATGATAAAAAGAAGGATAATATATCTTACAGCCAGGGGAAAATGAAACAATGAAACGCCCAGACACACAAGAGTGGCAATGACAGTGGAATAGCCATTATAACCATAACCAAGCTGGAGACTTCACTGGGGTGAGTGAAGAGCAGATTAGGATCAGTGATTTAAACACACAGCAACAACGACAATCTGAATGAGGCATGCATACAAAAAGGAAGAAAAAGTAAACCGCAGTGACAACGCTGGAGGAGCAGCCTAACGGGTAAACAGAGCCCCCTCCAGAGGGCCAAGGGAAGATAGAAGAAAGGAAACAGGTCAGAAAAACCTGCAGAAGAGTTTCCAAGACTGTTGAAAAGCAAAGGGCCACTGATTCAAAGCCCTCTACGTATTTCAAGCAAAAACAGAAAGAGGATCTCACCCCAAGATATATCAATTCCTAGAAAATGCTAACGAACATAAAATTCTAAATCCAGCCCAAGGAAACAAAAGATCCATGAACAGAGATAAGAATTTCAGATTCCCCACTGGGCATAAAGCAAGCAGAAAACATTGTAATGATATTCTTAAACAAACAAACAAAAAAGACTGTCAACAGAGAAGCCTGTATCCAGCAAAAAATGTCTTTCAGAACGAGGCAAAATAAGACATTTTAAGACAACCAAAATTGAGAGCACAGCTGACCAGTAAGACAAGAAATATAAGAAGTGCTCCAGACAGGGAAAAAAAAAAAAAAAGAACAGATAGAAACTTAGATCTACCCAGAGAAATAAAGCACTCTGGAGATGTAGAGCTTATAAGAAATATAGTAGTTTCTTTCCTCCGTTAATTTTTTCTTTAACATCTGATTAAAAGCAGATACTAGCAAATATTTTCTATAAAGAATCACATAGTGAATATTTTAGGTTTCAAGAATTATTCATTCTCTATTACAGCTAATCTTACTAAAAAGTAGTGACAAATCATTTGTAAACAAATAGTTCTAATAAAACTTTATTTAAAAAAACAAACAAAAAACAAGGATTGGGCTAATTTGACATATAGTCCATAGTTTTCCAGGACACTGGTTTAAATCAAAAATTAAAGTAATATATTGTATCAATTATAATATATGCACATATACACTTATGAATATATATATATATATATACCCATAGAAGAAGTAGCAAAGAATATAAAAGGAGAAATGTAAGTGTAGAGTTATTAGAATATGGTTCCATTTCACACAGAGCAATTTAATCTAGTTACAGTAGAATGACACTATCCTTGCTTGTAAACTAAGAACACTAATAAAATAAACAAAATAGTAACATAACTATGAACTAACGTTTATTCCTAACTATCAATCTAAAATAAGGCACACAACAGACAAAAAAAGACAAGGCAAACAGAAGCAAAGCACAAGACTAGATATAGCTCTAACTATATGGATAATTGCAATAAATATAAATGTTCTATATTTTTCTAGTAACACAGATGTTCATCTGGAAAACAACAGCCAACTATGTGTTATTTATTACATAAAAAAGTAAAAGGCAGCTGGGAATGTGACATGTTTTTAATGCCAGAGCTCAGGAGCAGAGGCTGGCCGATCTCTATGAGTTTGAAGTCTACCTCTAAAGTTCCAGGCTAGCCAGAGCTATATAACAAAACTCTGCCCTAAGCACATTTTTTTTAAGTTAAAAGAAAAGAAAGAGGAGGAAAAAGCAAGCACCATTGGAAGGAAGTCAGAATGGCTATGTTAATATCAGGCAAAGCAAAATTTGAACTAAGGAGCATAGATAGCCAAAGATAGAGAAACAAGACTGTTGGGTCAATTCATTTTGATGACATGACAATTACACGTCTTAGTAGGTGAGAAATATATATTCTACTATTTACAAATAAAAGTAAGTGAAAACAAAAACTTAAAAATGCAAAGAAGCAATAAGGGAGAGGGTGGCTGAGAGTACTTGCTGCTCTTGTAGAGAGCCCAGGTTTAGCTCCTTCACCTACACATCAACCAATAACCATCTGACACTCCAATTCTAGGGGATCTGACGCCCTCTTCTGGCTGCCATGGACCCTGCACACATGCAAGCACAATATTCAGACACATAAAACAATCTTGTAAAAAAAAAAATACATGATTATAGTTGTAGACTACAACCTCCTCCCAGAGTTCACAGAACAAACTAGCGAAATTAATCATAATGAAATTTAGAAAAAAAAATTTCTGTCCTTAAATAGAAAATCACAACTTTATATCCTTATGCTAGAAAAGAAGGAAGATAAGGTGGGTCATAAAAGTCCACTTTAAGAAGTTACAAGGGAGAAAAGGGAGAAGGAAGAGGAAGAGAAAAAGGAGATGGTAAGAAACATCCTTTCGGGGTGGAGACTCACCCAGCCAGGGATGAAGTTCACAGGCTTTTTCTTGTCAATGTTTGAGTTATAGTACAGTTACATTTCTCTCTTCCCTTTCCTCCCTGAAAACCTTCCCCACTCTCCTTAAAATTCATGAGGGTTTTTTTTCACTAATTTTTATTGTATTGATTTACTAAACCAGTATACCCCCTAGCAATAACCTATAAGCATTTGTCCTTATACCCACAGATATGTGCAGTCTTCACCCCTTATCAAGGAAACTTCTCTTTGCAACAGATGGAGACAGAAAGCCACAACCAATCAAAATGCAGTGTTGAGCCCAGTCCCAGCAGATACATCTACAAAATCGGGCTCTTGATAAGTGTGCATCTGACTTGTTCTTGGAGATAGCATTTCCTGTGGAAGCCATCATATCCCTTTCTCCTGTTGCCACCATCCCATGACAACCAAGTTTGGGGGTTCGCAGAAATAACCAAAGATGTCTTTTAGAGAATTTTTTATGGCCTCTGCTGCATATACATGATTCTTTTCCTTTGTATACAACCATCACGCATAAGTGTATTTCCACCGTCAGTTTTTGTAAGCTTGATGTGGTCTGGTTGCTTACTATGCAGTCTTAAGTTCTTCCCAGAAACCTGTCCCTCAAAGTGTCAGTACCATCCTTGGGCAATTCCAGACTCTGGAGCTCTCGGGATAGGAAGAGGGTTGCCTCTGAGAGAACAGCAAGAGGCCTTCATGGTTCATCATGCTTTACCTGTGGGGTCCAGGTGCCCACAGAACTCTCTATAGGTAGAGCTGGGCACAGCCCATCCTGGGAGTCAGAGATGCAACTAAGAGGCTAGAACTGACTCAGGGTAGGCCATGACAAAAATGGAGACCCCCGGCCGATGGCTCAAGTTCAGGGCCAGGTTTTAAACATGGCAGACAAGGGCGATCTCTGAGATTTATCTCCCAAGGCCTGATGCTCCCACTCACTCTTAGGGCAGGACGTGCACTTGGAGAACTGTTGGGAAGGGTATGATATCCCAAAGTAAGACCTGTATAGCCTTAAACTTGGGGCTGGACCAGGCCTGGGCCAAACCCTTAGAATGACTCAGAGCAGAACTCAGGAGCTTCCGATGGTATAAAGGAAAGGAGTGGGGGGGGGGTGGCTGTGGCAGAGAACCCCTTCCCTCCTAGGAGCTCCCTGCCGAGGATTAGAGGAGCCTGTGCTACACTGCACTTCCTATTGTCAAATTACCGCTGTCTGCTGGCAGGTGAGCACGCTTTATGGCTTCATCAAAGAAGATGGGGGTACAGCTAGCACGAGTGATGGGGAAAGGGGGAAAAAACCCTGCCTCACCACTGGGCCCACCCCTGCTAAAGCAGAGCTCATTGCAAGGGAGAAGAACCCATAGCCCCAGTGGGGATTGGACACGCAGCATGAGCCCACAGGTGGGGCCACACAGGGCAGTGAACAGTGTGGACCAGCCTTGCTGACCTTAGGTCTTCCTTTCTGGGGCAGCAGGGAATGGGCCCCCTGGGGGTGCGGAAAGGTTGGAATGAGAAAGATGGGTTTGGATAAGGAAGGTAGGGACTGAGCTGATGCGCCACACTGGCCCTGGCTCTTCTGTCCCCTGTGTGCTCTCACACACCTCCTGGACCCTGAGCTTGTGTTGAAGTCGCTCAGCTGCGAACAAGGGCTCTGGGTGCTCCGTGTGTGCTGAATTGAATCCAATTGAATTGACTTGACTGCTGAGGGACAGAATTTAATCCAGACTGCAATTAAATCTTCCTAATTTGAATCTGCTAATTAGGAAAAGGCTGGGCTGAAGTTGGCAGTAGTGTGATCCATCTTTTGAGAGATTGTTCCAGTTTAACAGAGAGTAGCTGAGAGTGCTCAGAGGCCGGGAGACAACAGAGCATGCTTACAACACTCTCTCTGGCGCCGAGAAGCATGGGAGGCAGTCAGCCACCAAGAACTGTGCTGTGCATCGTTCTCAGCTAGGGCGGAAGGGGCACCTGAACCCACCGTGACCTAACCAGCTTTCCTGGCCTGGTGGGTGAAAGGGGATACACTAGCATGTCAGCTTTTAAAAATACCATCCTTCTTTTCCATTGAGGAATATCCCACCCTGCCCCCAACCATCTTGTATTCTTTATCTAAAAGTTGCAAGAAAAAAAAACATAAAGAATTCCAAGATACACTTCATCTATACACCCCCAAAAGTCACCATTAGAGGCTCCTTGTTTCTCCCTGTGCGTCTCTCTACGTGCACATAACTACGCATATGTAAGTGTATGTACAAATGGGCACACGTAGGTAGATATGGGCATCCCTCTTTACCAAACTATTGCTGCCTAGCATTAACCCCTGAACAAAACTGCCGCCATCTTCCTGGCCCCAGCTGTGCATGCTTGCCCATCAGTCAGGAGGAGCTGTGGACAGTCCCTCAGCAGGAGGATGGAAAGGATCAGTGACACTCCCGGTGCTGCCACTGTGGGGTCACCCGGGCCCCTGTGAGCATCTCCTTGCCTGTGCACTGTGCACCCCAGCAAACTCACTGGTTCTCAAGGGTAAACTTCGGTGAAACTTTTCATTTCTCTTTTGGACCTTGAAGGGAGAAGGGAGACGCAGCTGTACAGCTACTCAGAAGTCCGCTGCAGGCATGATGTCCTTTCCTAACAAATACTCAGTGAGCTGCATGTGTTTATAAAGTACCTGAAGGGTCTAGCCGTTCCCTGTTAATACCAGACCTTTCCCAGCTACAGCTGGTAGTCACCAATGCCTGGAGTTGTATCTACCATCAAGCCCAGCAGTTGTCAACCTGTCCCAAGCACTCTTAGGAGTCTCTGAAGAGGCGGCAAAGTCCCAAAAGTTCAGGCAATGGAAAGGCTACATAAGGACCATCTATCTCTTAGACACAATATCCTGCATCTTTCTCTTTAACTGCCATCCACAGTCCTAAGCTTACCTCTAACACCCTGCTCTAAGTCATCCTTCCTACACCACTTTGCTTATTTGTTCTATCATTTCTTCGTGAATTCTTCCCTCCTCCCCTTCCAGGAAGTCTTCCTGACCATCCCAGCATCTCTGAATTCTCCTCCCAAGCTTTTTCTAGAGTCCACTGAGCTTGGGAGATGCTTCATATCCCTTCTTTCTGGCAGGAACATGAACTCTGGACCCCAGACCTGGGACAGGATAGCGTCCAGTTACACTGAGCTAACTCCTGTAACCAGGCCCAGTAGGTGACTGAAGTAGACTCCAAGGCTGAGTAGACTGAGGACTAACCTGCATCATTCAAAAGTGATGCAAAACAGAAACTCTATGGATATGGTGAACTCTCCCTCCCTCCCTCTTCCCCTCCTTCCCTCTTTCCCTCCTTCCCTCCCTTCTTCCCTCCCTGCCTGCTTCCCTCCCTCTCTCTCCTGTTCTCCTGGGTGTCTGAAGACTCACCAGTCAGTGCCCTCAGCCAGATACCGGGGCTGAGGTGTCTGCAGTTGGTGGCCAAAGTCAAAGCTGGGGTGGAGGCGGTGGGGGTGGACAGACACTCGATCCTGACTCCGCCTGTACAGAAAGAAAGAAGGGCCATTGTGCTAGGGGCTGCCTGGGCCAGCCAAGTTCCCAGGAGCTCTGAGTGGTGCTGCCTCCACCCACTGAGGATGCCCACTCTGCTTCTCCCCTCAGAACTAAAGTTCCCAAACGCCAAGGTATTTACCAGGGGAGCAGAAACTGACCACACCTATCAGGATCCCGAAAGAATTTTCTATCAGGCAACACACAGCCACACATTTACCTCAGAACTAGAGAGGAAACAGAAACCAAGGAACAAAACCCTCATCTACCAAAGACAAGACCAGTTATCAGCACCTAGAGTTATAATCTTCTCAAACCCAGATGCCTAGAGACCAGGGTGAAAACACAATCAGTAAGAGCTGGGACAGTATGTCTCTACTGGAGTCCAGCAACCCTACCACAGCAGGCCCTAAGCAACCCAACATAGCTGGAGCACAAGAAGGTGTCCTTAAAACAGCTTTTATGAGCATGATAGAGAACCTTAAAGAGGAAATGAATAAATCCCTTAAACAAAACTATGAAAAGACAAACAGCGGAAGGAAAGAAATAAAGCCATTCAAGACCTGAAAGTGAAAATATAATCAATAAAGAAAACCCAAACTAAGGGAAATCTAGAAATGAAAAATTTAGGAACTGGAACAAAAGCAAGTTTATCAATAGAATACAAGAGATGGAAGAGAGAATCTCAGGCATTGAAGACACAATAGAAGAAATGGATACCTTGGTCAAAAAAAAAAGTTAAATAAAAAAAAAAAAGTCCTGGCACAAACCAACCAGGAACTAGCACACTGTGAAAAGACGAACTCTAAGAACAATAGGAATACAGAAAGGAGAAGAAACCCAGGTCAAAGGCACAGAAAACATTTTCAACAAAGTCAAAGAAAAATTTCCTAACCTAAAGAAGGAGACACCCATCAAGGGACAAAAAGCTTACAGAACATCAAATAGACTGAAGCAGAAAGGAAATCCCCTCAGCACATAATAATCAAAACACTAAACATATAGAACAAAGAAAGAGAACCAAGTAACATATAAAGGTAGATCTATTAGCATTAAACCTGACTTCTCAATGGAGACTCTAAAAGCCAGAAGGGCCTGGACAGATGTGTTGCAGACTCTAAGACACCACATATGTCATTCCAGACTACTATACACAGCAAAACTTTCAATAACCATAGATGGAGAAAATGAAACATTTCATGCTAAAACTAAATTTAGGTAATATCTACCTACAAGTCCAGTTCTATAAAAGGTGCTAGAAGGTAAACTCCGACCTAGAGTTTAACCACACCCACAAAAACACAGGAATAAATAATCCCAGACCAGCAAATCAAAGAAGGAAAATACACACACACATACACATTCATCCTTCATTCACCAACAAAATAACAGGAATCAGCAAACTGCTCATTGATATCTTTTAACCTCAATGGTCTTGATTTTCCCATAAAGACACAGACTAACAGAATGGATGTGAAAACAGGATCTGTCCTTCTGCTGCTCCCAAGAAACACACTTTAACAACAAGAATAGACATCACCTCAAGGTAAAAGAAAGGGGAAAAGATATTCTAAGCAAACTGACCTAAAAGCAAGCTTTCATAGCTATTTTAATAGCTGACAAAATGGATTTCAAACCAAAACCAATCAGAAGAAATAAGGAAGGTCACTACATACTCATCAAAGGAAAAATCCACCAAGAGGACATTCCACTTCTTAACATCTATGTCCCACAGTTCAGAAACCTAGGAGCACCCAAGTTCAGAAAATGGAAACTACTATAGCTTAAATCACATATTGACCTCAGACACTGATACTGGGAGACCTCAACTCTCACCAGTATCCGGGTTATACAGTCAAAAACTAAGCAGAGGAATTCTGGAACTAATAGACATTATAAAACAAATCGACCTAACAGATATGTACAGAGCATTTCACCCAAAGACAGAAAAAAATACGTTCTTCTCTACACCTCATAGAACTGTCTCCAAAACTGACCACATATTAGGACACAAAGCAATTTTCAACAGCTACAAGAAAGTTGGAATAACACCCTGCATCCTATCTGACCACCACAGACTAAAGCTGAATGTCAACAACTACAAAAATCTTGAAAACTCATAGAACCTGAACAACTCACTACTGAATTTTAAAAAAATGGGTCAAGAAGGGAATTAAGAAATTAAGCTGGACATATTGATACAACCCTTTAATTCCAGCACTCAAGAGGCATAGGCAGATGCATCTCTGTGAGTTCAAGGCCAGCCTGGTTTACATAGTGAATTCCAGGACAGCCAAAGACACATAGTGAGACCCTGTCTTGAAAAGGAGAAGAAAAAAAGGAAGAAAGAAATTAAAGACTTTTTAGAATTGAATGAAAATAAATATGCAACTTACACAAACTTATGGGATACAATGAAGGAGGTTCTAAAAGGCAAGTAATTTCACAGAACTAAGTGTCTGCATTTAAAAAAAAATTAGAGAGATCTCATTAGTAACAACAGCACACCAGGAAGCTCTGGAACAAAAAGAAGAATTAATAACCAAAAAAGAGCAGATGGTTAGAAACAATCAGATTCAAGGCTGAAATCAACAAAATACAAACAAAAAAACACAATATAAGGAATCGATGAAACAAAGAGTTGGTTTTTATTAAAATCATTAAGATTAACAAACTAAATTAACTAAAAGGCAAAGAGAATATCTAAATTTACAAAGTTAGAAAATCATAAGAGGAGACACCAAGAAAATCCATAGAATAATAAAGACATACTTTATGGTATGCCACCAAATTAGAAAATCTAAAAGAAACGGATAATTTTCTCAATAGGTACCACTTTCCAAAGTTAACTTAAAGCAGCTTAAACAGACCTATAACACCTAGTAATATAGAAGCAGTAATTAAAAGTCCTCCAACAAAGAAAGCCCAAGGTCGGATAGTTTTAGCAATCTACAGATTAAAAATCCCAAAAGAATTCTACCATACTTTCAAAGAAAAGTTAATGTCAATACTCCTCAAATTATTCCACAAAATAGAAGCTGAAGGAGCATTGCCTAATTTGTTTTACAAGACCACAGTTACCCTGATATCTAAATTGCATAAAGACCCAAAAAAGAAAGAGAATTACAGACCAGTTTCTCTTATTTCAAGTTATACTACAAAGCTTTGGTAATAAAAACAGCATAGTATCTGCACACACAAAAAAAAGACACATTGATCAATGCAGTTGAAGACCCAGACATAAATCCATACACCTATGGACACCTATTATTTTTTATAAAGAAGCCAGAAATACACACTGGAAAAAAGACAGCATCTTCAACAAATGGTGCTGATCAAACTGGATGGCTGCATGTAGAAAAATGCAAATGAATCATGCTTAGCACCCTGCACAAAACTCAGTTCCAAGTGGATCAAGGACCTCAACATGAAATGTGATACAATGAATCTGATAGAAGAGAAAATGGGGAAGCCTTGAACTTATCCACACAGGAAAAGACTCCCTAACCAGAACAGTTAGCAGAGGCTCTTAAGGTCAACAGTTCATAAACGGGACATAATGAAGCTGAAAAGTTTCTGTACAGAAAAGAAAACCATCATTTGGGCAAAGCAGCAGCCTATAGAATGGGAAAAGATTTTCTTTTCAACTACACATCCAATTAAGGGCTAATATCCAATATATATAAAGAACTCAAAAAACTAGATTGTCAAGAAAACAAATAACCCAACTAAAAATGGGGTATAAATCTAAACAGAGAAATTTCAAAGAAGAAAACGCAAAAGGTTGAAAAATACTTAAACTTTGAACATCCTTAACCATCAGGGAAATGCGAATCAAAGCTACTTTGAGATTCCATCTTACACCTGTCTAAATGGCTAAAATCAACAAAACAAGTGACAGCTCATGCTGGTGAGGACATGGAGTAAGAAGAACACTCATCCATTGGTGGTGGGAGTGCAAATTTGTACAACCACTGCGGAAATCAGTGTGGCAGTTCCTGGGGAGCTGGGAATCAATCTCTCTCAAGACCCAAGACTACTTGGGCATGGATTCAAAGGATGCTTCACACCCTCTGCTACCACAAAGACACTTGCTCAGCCATGTTCATTGCTGCTCTATCCATAATAACCAGAAACTGGAAACAATCTAGATGTCCTTCAATATAAGACTCAATTAAAAAAAAAAAAGTGGTATGTTTATAAAGTAGAATGTTACTCAGTGTTTACAAAAATAAATAAATAAATGAAATTTGCAGTTAAATGGATGAAAGTAGAAAAATCACCCTAGGTGAGGTATCCCAGACCAACAAGACAAATAATCGCTTGTATGTGTACTCTAGCAGTTAAGTCACTGATTACTACAATACGTAGAAACAGAGAGGTTAGGTATAGAGTAAGGGACTAGCTGGGGGGGATGCAGATAGATCTCATTATGGATGGGGTAGGGAGCTGGAACAGGAGAATCAGGATGGGGGAGAGGGTAACAAGGGAGGAACACGGGGAGAAACAGCTAAAATTAAGGCTCATTTGAGGGGTAGTGTGGAAACTTAATACAGTAGAAGCTTCCTAAAACATATATGAAGGTAGCTAAATGAATTGTCAAATAATGGGGGAGATAGACCTCCCCCACCAACCGGACATCTCTTGTCACCAAATAAAGTTTTCAGTACTAGGATTGGCTTGTTGATTGATTGCGTTGTTGGCCAAAGGAATCCCATGAAAATCCCCAAACAATCCAGGCTGTTGCCAAGACTGTAGATTGCTCTCCACAAACTGACAGCAAGGCCTCATTGCTGAAAACAACACCTACACAACTCAATGGACATTGAAAAATTGAGCTGGTGCCTATATTCTAATGTTTTTGGTACAGGAAGTTACTCAGCATCCTACCAAAACTGAAAAGTAAACACCAACCCGGCCACAAACCCTCTGATCTATAATGCTGTCCTGTCTACCAAATTTGCTAGGGCAGTGGTGGCACAGGCTTGTGGGAACAACCAACCAACATCTGAATTTATTTAAGGCCCACTCCATGAGCACTGCTTGGGTGACCAAGAACCTGAGACTAGATAGCCTTGGACCTAGGGAAACCCAAATACTACTGTTCTAAAAAACAATAACAACAACAAAACAAAAGCAACAGATAAACAAAACCAGCAATCAAAGGACTCCTAATGACATTCTGCTATACTCATAGATGGTTGCCTTGCCCAGCCATCATCAGAGATGGGTATATCAGCAGCAGATAGGAACAAATACAGAGAACTATCGCCAGCCATGAGAGAGAGACAGAGAGAGAGAGAGAGACAGAGACAGAGCTTGGAACAAACAGCTCTAAATGGGATGTCTCCATCAAATCCTTTTCCTCAGACCTCAGTGACCTCCGTTGAAGAGGAAAGTGTAAGAGCCAGAGGGAATCGAGGACACCAGGAAAACAGGCCCTCTAAACCAACAAGAGCAAAGCTCACAAGAACGCGCAAACTGAGGCAGCATGCACAGGGCCTGCACAGATCTGCACCAGGTCCTCTGAGCACCTATCATGGCTTCCAGTTTAGTGTTTTTATGGGATTCCTGAGTGTGTGAACCATTGGGTCTCTGTTTCTTGTGCCTTTTCTTGTGCTCTTTCTTTTTCTGCTGTTGGTTTGTTTTTACAATTCCAACTGTTTGTTGTTGTTGTTGTTGTTGTTGTTTTATCGTATTACGTTTTATTTTGTTATTAGCCCGTAGAAGCCTGTTTTTTTTCTAATGAGACAGAAAGGGGGTGGATCCCAATAGGAGGGGAGCTGTTGGGGGTGGATTGGGAGTAGAGGGAGGGGGAACCATAATTATGTGATCATATTATTGTGAGATATATTATGTGAAAAAAAATTCTATTTTCACTAAAAGGAAAATAATTAAAAAATAAAAATAACGTTATAAATTTAACATCAGTAGTTTCGGTATCTTTAATGAATTAATAGATACTTTTAAATTTCGGTAAATCCATATAAGCAGAGATTCTTTGCGGTCATTAACTTTTTAGTGTGAAAATGGCCCTGACGCCCAGAAGACAGAGAAGCACCCAGCTGTGCTCATCCATTTCTTCCTTACAGCTGAGGCTCAGCGATGACTTGCCACGTCAGGATATCTGATTGCTGCTAATTTTATTCGGTTTCATGGGCATACAGCCACAGTCTCCAACTAGACCTTGGCCCTTTGGAGGACAGGACTGGAACCAGTCACTTCCTTTGGTACTCTGGTGTGGTTTGGGGAAAATCAGAATCAGGCTGGAGGGGACTCTAGAAAGTCCACTCTGAGCATCACTGGCCACTGTTCACCCAGCCCCTGACCCTGAGCTTGGGGAATATGAGGGGTCACGGTAGGCCACTAACAGAGGCTAAAGCCATCCCTTGCAGACCTGCTTTGGCTTTGTGACTGCAACCACTCCTGGCTGATAGAAGCACAGTCCCAAACCTTGCCCCTGCCGCCACGCCACACCCCTCCTCGGCCCCGCCCTCTTGCCTTGGCCCCACCCCTGCCGACCTGGGATGCGAGACGAGCCTGCGGTGCTGAGCTTCCAGGAGCTGCTGCTGCAGCAGGTATTGCTGGTGCAGGGCCTGAGGTAGGAAGGAGGGACCTGTGACGTCCTGGAACTGCAGGGTGGGCAGCGGGGTCAGCGACTGGTGCAGCGCGCCGCTGTGCTGGTGGGCCGGGGCCATGTGGGCGCTGAGGCCCGGCTGCGACTGCACGGGGTGCGCCAGCGGGAAGTCCGGGGCTAGCTGCTGCGGCTGCGGGGGGCCCAGGTGGAAGTGGCGGCAGGAGGTAGCGTGAGGATGCTGAGACCTTTGAAAGGGGGCACCTGTAGAGGCAAAAGACAGAGTTCTCCGTGAGGACCTGCAAAGGACCATCCCACCTGAGCTGGGTCTGCACCCCTGGACAGCCTGGAGCTGGTGAATGTCAAGACCTTCCTCACACAGCTGACCTACAGCTTTAATACGTGTGCCACCACTTTTAATGCTCCATGTAAAGGTTCTGTGCGCCTTAGCAGAACATGTTTGCTTTCATGTACAGAGAAGCAGCCTTTTATATATACACGCGTTAAAAGGATTTCGGGGCACCTGAAGCCAGCCTGGCCTTCTTGAATTAGACTCCTCCCAGTCAATTTCTTATGTACACATATAGAAAATGTAGGGCGACCTAGCCAAGCCCTGAACTTTACGGAGGAAGTTCTATTCAAGCATAAGCAACTAGAAATTTTGTGTTGCAATTTTAAATGGGAAGGCATCACAGAAATGACCTTTTAAAATACCAGTCAAGCTCGGCATTGTTGGCTCAGGCCTTTAATCCCAGCACTCGGGAGACAGGTGGATCTCTATGAGTTCCACACCAGCCTGGTCTACATAACGAGTTCCAGAACAGCCGGGGCTGCATAGAGAGACCTTGTATCAAAAGGGGGTCGGGGGAAGTAAAATAAAAATTTTTAAGAAATAAAACGCCAATCTATTTATCGTAAGATTAGAATTTAAAGCAAACAAATTTAGGTATAAACTGGACTCCGGTCATATTTAGCTTAGGCTCCAGTATTTTTGTGACTAGGACGAGCTTAATTACAAAGCTTTGCGGGTTCAGGGATGCACAACACATCGTCAGCACTGGAAGAGTCCTCCCATGAGGCAACCGGCAGACCTGTCATTGCAGAAAGATCCCCACTGACGTTAACAGCGCAGGAGTAAGAAAAAGACAGGGTCAGAGGGAACAGGAGAGATGATGCCAGCAGGCAACAGGTGTCAACAGAATGAGGAAAACAGGTGGGGGAATTAGCAAAGCTAAGGAGTCAGAAACCCAGTCAGGATCAGAGGTGGCAACTACTTCAGAAGGCAAGAGACAGTGTGGGTCTAAGCAGAGGGGGAGTGGTGTTAGTCTGCCCACTGCAAGCGGGGTCAGGAGAAAGTTTATTCCAAGTCTATGGAACTTTGGGGCCCCCTACATTCCTCTGTCACCGGGTATGTGACATTGCTCTGCCCTCTATAGAGGTACACTGGACTGGAATCTGGGGTGGGATGGGGGTGCTTCTTCAAACAAAGTTATTGGTCCCAGAAGTGCACTACAGGTTCTTATGGTTCCAGAATCACCCCAATAAAATGTGTAGGTCCCCAGTGCTGGAGAGATGGCTCAGCAATTAAGAGCACTGGCTGCTCTTCCAGAGGACCCAGGGTCAATTCCCAGCACCCATATGGCAGCTTACAAATATCTGCAACTCCAGTTCTTGGAGACCTGACGCCCTCACACAGACACACATGCAGGCAAAACACCAATGCACATAAAATAAAAATAAATTAAAAAAATTTAAATGTATAAGTCCTAACCAGCCACTGTATTTGGAAGCCCACTAGTTGAAAAGCTATTTCTTGTATATGTGCAAAGACTTTCTAAACAGCTGTTGGTGACTTCCTCTGACTTAAATCAGGCAACCCAAAGATGACCAGTCTTTTGAAAAGGGCTACAAAGTGAAGAGATAGAACATACCAACTTTTATATGAGAAAAAAAAATCCAAGAAAAAAAAAAACAAAAAACAAGCAACAAAATAGGAGACTATACTCTAAGAAGGTGAGTGGGACGTTCCCACACACAAGGCTGCTCAGGGCTCCAAACAGGGCTGGGAATCTAAACGTTTGTCTGGGAAAGAGGAGGGTGAGAAATAGTGTTTGAAGGAATTTTACACATTGACAGAGACTCCGGTAAGAATGTGACCACCGTAAGAAGCAAAGGGGCAGTGTCCATCTGCAGGGAAATAGAAAGTTGTGCAAGTGTCATTATCACACACGGCTTGGTTCAACAACAAAAACAGTATGTATTAACCATAAAACAAGTAGCTGTTTTGGAACAAAAAAATAAATAATGTGAAGAACATAAACAATGGTCAGGAATTTTAAAATCAACAAAGAGTACTCTGATGGTTTAGCTTGAAATGTACTGGATGAGGTTCACGATACAGGAAGTAACTGCCCAGCTCTAAAGACTTGGAAGCAGAGAGAGGGCTACCGCCCTGAGGAATTTGACGGGGGGGGGGGGTATGTGTGAAAGAGGCAGACAGTGAGTGTTTGGTTAAAGTTAGCTTGTATTGAAGTGTGTAAATGATGCACATTTCACAGACTTTTGTAACCTACATATATAAAAAGCGATGAATAAAAACAAAAACAATTTCTGCCCAAGTCAATCAGAATAGATTTGTGTAAAATGTATTGACCCGAGAGTATTTGGATAAGTCAGGTCCCTCAGCCTTACCGGGGCATCCAGAAACCGAAGCCTGAGAAGGCAGACACTAGCTCCCCCTTCTCAAGCCACCATCTGTCATCACACACAACAAAAGAGGAGAGAATCAGCAAGACAGAAGAAAAGAAAAAGAAAAAAAAAGCCCGCTCAGAAAAGATGCAGGAGCAGAAGATGGGTGGGACCACACTGGAAAGAAAGAAATGGAGCTGCTTGTTTTCAAAGGGTGTTTTTGAGACTAAAGCCAGCTCTGCCATAGAATTATGTGAGACACATACAGGCAATTTTGAATTTCAACATCAATAGAGACAGGTAAACTTAATTAATAATATGTAACAGGATGCCTAAAATGGTCTTTTTAACATGGTCAGTATACGAATGTTTTGAGCTTCATTCTGTCCTATTTCCATACAAGTGTCCACAGTCAGCTGTGCTCTTCCGATGTCTTCCATCCCACGTAGTAGGTGGTGCGTGGCTTCCCTGTGGACCCTGCAGCTGGCAGGAACAGGCCAACACCATCAATGGAGCACAGCCTTGAAGGCTTTCCCTCATGATCTTCCCCCAGATGGAATAGGGAGTACTCCCCATCTTACCTTCGAAACCCAAGCGCCATAGCCTGGTATTTAAGCTTCATACTTCCCGGTCTCCCTAAATCCTGAATGGTGTGGGTGCTCAGTAAATGCCTGGGTGTCTGCCTGGTTATGGGAGAAAATGAGGGGAAACAGAGGGGCTGGGCTGACTGAACTCAAACTGTCTCAAAACTGACTGAGCTAGAGAGGAGTATGGAGACCCTGGATGAGCCCCAGGCTTAACAAGGGCAGGCACAGATGAGGCCAGCTGGCCAGTGACTTCTACCTCTGCCCTGCTGGACCCTGTCTGGCTGCCAGGAGCAGCCACTGCCCCTCCCCTCCCACAGCCCCACTGGGGGAGTTTCACACTTTTGCAGCCTCTAGTTGGTGCAGAGCGAAAGGGACAACAAATGCCAGACACCCTCCTCCAGAATGGGCAGTGGAGGACTGTGGACTAAAGCACGTGTCTTCTAACACCAAAGGCAAGTTCAGCCTGCATAGGCCTCTTCTGTTGTGGGACTAGACATTCCCAGTCACCTCTATCCCCAGGGAATTCCTGAGCCTCATCATCTATACACAGGCATAGAGGCTGGGAAGGGCCCAGCTCAGCCCTGTGTCTTTGCGACAGTGCTAGGTAACAGCTGCCCTTGTTCAGTCTCCAAAAACCAACAGCAAAACTCACGGGAATGTGGAGTCTTTGACAAGCCAACAGCCAGCGATGTCTGAACAACCCTGACATCCCAAGTCCCTCCGCCCCCACTCCCTTTAGTAGACAACCCGAGTTTTTTTCCCATTAGAGTCATTCCATCCCATTAAAAAATAATTTCCAGATGTCCCTGATTCTTCTATGCATTTATCATATTTCCCCAGGGTTAAAATGCCACCAACTGAAAGATTCATCATGAGCTAAACAACATTTCCAGTGAGCGGGGACATCAACAAAATAAACCCCACCATATTAAATAAACACATCAATTATAAGACACAAATTACTATCAGAAGGGGGGGAATGTATGTCTTAGGAGTCGGAAAATTGATGGTGACAGTCACCACCCTTGAGACTTGGGGCAGGAACTCGATAATAGGGGCTGGGCTCAGGCGATGCAGGAGCAAGGCTGGGGCTGGAAGACTCAGGGTATCCCTGCACACCTGGGACCAGGGAAGCCCACAGGTGTGTGGCCTACCTGGTACACATGGGACACGGGACAGGTGCTCCACAAATGCCTAGGAACTGGCTGCCTCGTGCCTCTCGGGCAAGGAGCCAAAGAAGTCGGCAGCTGGAGAGTGAGTAGCTCTGAGGACTGAGGAACCCACACAGCCCCAGTCCTGGCAGGGAAAGAGCAGGGACAAGTGCTGTGGCGAAGGTACAGTGGCCTAAAGGTGACAAGGCTCAAGTCTAAAAGGTTTGCTGATTTGCATAGGGCACACCCCTCAGAGTGAGTGACAGATGGAGATTTAAGTCTAGGAGGCTCCTTTAAAGACCCAAGCTGAGAAGACAGGGCAGAGTCAAAGGAACAAGGAGCCTGGACTAGCCATGAAAGAGGCTGGGATCTGAATGCCTGTGTGCTCAAATCCCAACCCCCAATGTGGTTGTATTAGGAGGTGTGGTCCTGGGGAGGTGATTAGCTCTCATAAAGGTATTAATATCTTTAGAAAAGAGACCCCAGAGAGCTAGCTGGCCCCTTCGCAGAGTAAGGACACAGCTGGGAGGCACCATCTATGAAAAAGAGAGCCCTGGCCACACCCTGGGTCTGCCAGCATCGTGAGCTTGGACTTCCAGACTCCAAAACTGGGAGTAATAAATGTTTGTTCTTTACAAGTTACGCAGTTGATAGTATTTTGTTAGAGTAGTCCAAGGGGTTCTGGATGGGGTCTCCCTCAGGAAATAGTTGTGACAGTCCGTCTTTACTGTCAACCGATGGGACTGGGGATCACTGTGTGAATAACTCCAGCGGCAGCTGTGAGGAGTTACCCAGACTGACTTCACTGGGGTGGAAAGCCTGCACGTGGGTATTACCA